TCCTCTGCCGGGCGCGGGTCTCCCTCGGGGGCGCCGGGCTTTCCGGGGCCAGGGGAGGCCTGCAGGGCGGCCGGCCTCGGGGGCCTCCCGGTGGCCTCCCTTCCGATCCCGACAGAGGGGGGCCCCGGACCCTTGGCCCGCGCAAGAGCCTGCGAAGTCCATTTACGCGGCTGTCCTGAAGCGCTTCGTTCCGCAGAGACAGACTCTCCTCCGGGGAGGGCGGCACCGCCCGCCTGGGCCCCCGGTCTGAGGCCCCAGGGCGGGAGAGCAGCGTGGGCAGGAGCGACCCCGAGGGGCCTCCTGGGCCCCTGAGAAGGCGCGCCCTGGCCAGGGATCGGTGGGCCTTGCGCGTCCCCTCAGGCCCCTGGAAGGCGTTTGGCACTTCCCCGTGCGGCTGTGGGATCTCCTGGTGGTCTCCCAGTTGGGCCCCAACGGAGAAGAGAGGCTAAATTCTTGTTCCAGGCTGGGGCTTTTGGAATAAGCTCCCCTTTCTCAGCTCCCTCCAGGCAGAGGGTCGGAGAAAGAGCCATTCCCCGAAACCCACCGAAAAGCAGAATGGGGCACTGCGAGGGAGAAGAGGACGACGAGCTGCCAGGCGGATGGACGCGGCTGCGGTGGCAGTGGGGCGCCATTGGAAAACCTGAAGGACCCAGCGAGGGACGGATCGCCTTGGACAAAATCTCCCTATGTGGCCGCTAAGAGCTGACCCTGACTTGAGGGCACAAAATCAAAATCCGATGTCAAACCATCCGTTGATCTCTGTCCTGCATCCCAGCGCTGTGGTGACAAAGCCTTGGAAAACGGCCTCAGTTTTAGCCCTTAAAGTGGGCGAAAGTTGGCTTTTCGTTACTTGAAGCAAGGATGTCCTCAACATCCTACCCCATGCTTCCAGCTTTGCAATCAAGAAGGCTTTGCAGCTAAACTCACCTTAGGCCATCAAGAGGATCACAATAAATGTAAACCAGAAACATAAAGAGATAACACCTCAGGCTTTCTTGCACATCTTTGCTTTTTAGTCTAGATGAATTTCTGATCTATTCAAGTTAGAGGACAAAAAGGAGGGTTTTTTTTAATGCTATTCAAGGCAAAACTTTTAAGATCTCCAGGTGCAGTTTTTCCTTGGATTGTAGGAGTTTCTTTAGCTTCCTCAATAAAGAGAGTTGCCAGAAGATAAATTCTCATTCTTCCCTGTGTTGGAGATGTGCAGAAAGGAGACAGTTTTGTGGCAGAGGGTGGACTATAATATGGGTCTCCCTGTTCCTTGCCCAACATCTTTGTTACTGCATCGCAGAAATGGGCATTACCTATAATGCAAATACCGTATCTCCATAATTGAACATGTGTTAGTACATTGTACCGGGCTAAGACTTTATTTAGCTTGGAAGACAGTTGCTAGTTTAGAGATCCTACCTTAGCTAGAATCTTTTAAATTATCCTATTCTAGGTAAGCCACCAAGATTCTTTCTGATTGCGGTGGAATAGAAAATTTTAATTAAATAATATTTTTTAAAGTTCAAAATTAAACATAAAAATATAATAGCATTAATCTCTATTAACACTAATGATAAAAGAAGCAGCTTCTGTCTCTTCTATGCTAGAAGGAAAACAAAGCAACAGTTCAGCTGCAGTAATCTGTGGATCAGTCTTAAAATGGACAATTTACGTCATATTAGAATCTTTAGTATGCAAGACTCTACTAGCTTTAGGGTATGGAATAGTTAATATTCCTATTAAGAAAAGTCAGACAAATTTATCTGAGAGCAGAAAGAACTTTTACTTCTTTAGAGAAAACAAGGATTATGAATGCTCCAAGGACATAAAATAAGGCACTATACATAGTATAGCAATTAGAAAACTTTGATATCACATACCAGTGTAAGCAATGTAGTCAGAGGCCACAACAGTGTCATCACCAACTAAAGCTGAGGCCTTAGTCTATCATCAGTGAGATTAAAGAAACACTTGCTAAGGAAAACTATCTCAACCATCAGATGAGAAACCATCAGATGATACATCAAGGTTCTTGACCTCTTGCCTTCCACAGAGCAGGAGAAAACCAGACCATCTTCTGCTACCCAGGCATGCAAGAGGAAGAGATCTTTATGAGAAGTAGCCAGTCATGTCTGGCCATCAATGCTTCCTTTAAACATCTGAGTGGAGAGCAGGAACCTTCACCCAGCAAGGCCACATTCCTCAGGTTTTCAGCATCACTTCTCTATGCGGGGCTTTTTGCTGGGGATCCAGCAGAGCCCACTCCTCAGAGAAATAAATATACAGCCACTTCCTCAAAGGATGTGTGACCCTAAAAAAAAGAAAACATAATTTATCTTTTAAGAGACAAGCTAAGGAAGGATTTGCAAGTTCTCAATTCCCAAAGGAAAGATTTACAATGGATTACGTGCATGTCCTCTAAATAGTATAACATTTATGGAAGAAAACGGACAGAATTCACAACATTTGATAGATGAAACATTTGGCACATTTTACCAACT